TATGCTTCTTCTTTCCTGCTCCTGAACAAGTGTTAAGATAGACTAAAATATATATATATATATATATATATATATATATTGCTTATTTACTTTGTAGCCAAGCGCGCACACAATTACAAGTTCAAGCGAATTTTATATACAAATGCAGACGGTAAGAAAAGTTATTTATGAGTATTGCAGCTATAAGTAAACCAATATCAGATTTTGCAAACTAGTGCTCATAATATATTTTTTAGAATTAAAACTTGAGATGGTAGGTTACATAAATTGCAAAAATAATAGCTTCACTTGACTTAAACGACATTGATAAGGTATTGAAGAGGTGTTTGTGTGAAGGAAATACTTAGACAATTCTCTTTTTCCTTATCCCGTTTCTTTCTACTTTTTTTACTTTTTTGTTTTTTCACTTCTTTTTTAGCCTTGTTTTGTTGTTGCACTGGATATCGTTACTTTTCAGCCCTTTTTTATTCCTTCTTATTCTTTCTTCCTTTCTCCTGGTTTTTCTTCTTGTTCTTTCTCCTATCTATATCTTTACCCTACTCTACTCTACTCTCCTCGACTTTACTCTACTTTACTCTACTCTTCTCTGCTCTACTCTACTCTACTCTACTCTACTCTACTCTTCTATCCTCTTCTCTACTCTACTCTATTCTACTTTACTCTACTCTTCTCCACTCTACTCTACTCTACTCTTGTCTTCACCTCTACTCTTTTTTTTCTTATTTTCTTCACTTCTTCTTGCTTGGCGCGGCTTGCTTTAGTTAGACTATTCTAGCTTAGTCTAGCTTTACTTGCTCTTTTCTCTTAATGTCTTTTATTGTTTTCTTTTCTATTCTCCTCTCCTCACCGCCCTTCTTTCCAATATTGTTTAGTGATCTATTTTCTTCTTCCGCTTTTTCTTCTTTTTTTTTCTCTTCTTTCTCTCATCTTATCTCATTACACTTCGTCTTGTCCTAACTTTCGCCGTTTTTTTTTTTCAATTTTTTCCTCGAAGCTATTGTTTCGCTTTCTCTTTTTTCTTTTTTCTAAACATTGAGGGATGTTTCGTATAACACGCTGGATAGAATTTACTTTCATTTCCTCTGCATAAAACATCTCCTCATAGATAGTGATCAAGGGGACGAGTATTCTTGATACTATCCTTCCCTTAGAAGTTGATCAAGAACTAATAGAAACACACCACATAAAAACTAAATTGCCAGTATTTTCTATTAATTCGTCCAAAAACGCAGCTTAGTCTAAAAAATCTATACATTGCATAGCAGATTATTCTCCAATTTATTCGGACCTTGCGCATAGCAAGTCACTTATTGAAATACCAAAAAAAAAAAAAAAATGTACTAAAAGACTTTGCGTATAATTGTTAATACCTTAAAACTATCCATGACGACATTGAACTTCTTTGTATTAAAAACCAAATTAGGAATCACTTCAATATCCAATGAAATAAAAAAAAATTGAAAAAGCATCACACGCTGCTAGGGTCTTTAGAATCTAAAAAATCAAATTATTTTTGTTCCTAAAGTTAATTGAATGAATCTTCTCAATTTGTGTTGTATCTATTTATTTATGTAGACACATCATACTCTTATTTTTTGTTGTTGTTCACAATACTTTGCCATAACATTTGCTTGCCAACTTCATAGGATAGACTGAATGTATCTACATGTATATATAGATATTTTATTATAGCTTCATTATTGCTTTTCCTATATAATCAAACACACTTTTATATAAACACAGTAACTTATTGAAAAATATTTTGAGACAAAAGGTTTGTGTACATGTGGGTAATAAAAATATCCAAAAATAAGTTTCTAATGCAAAAATGAAAATCAGTCTATTAGAATATAAATTCAGCTCATCGTTTCTTTTGCTACAACGCCAAAAAAAACTACAAAGTACGTCCGCCGCACGTTGTCACAACTTTTTCTAGATGTGGTGTACATATGTATGGTTTATCTATGAGAACTCGTTAAATGAGATGGGGCCTGTTTAAATCACTAGTCACTCGGATGATGTCACTTACTCACATAACACGGTGATGGTTAGATGAGGGCGAGAAAATAGGAAGAACTGAGCAGGTAGAGGCCGCTGTCTAATGAATGTGAGTCCAATGGGTGTAAATGATTAAAGTGGATTCTATCGCTTTTGAGATTAAACTTCAACTCACGAAGACGGACTTGATAGTCGTGATTTCTACATATTCGATTAATTGTGCGGATATTTAGACATATATTGAGTTCATTTGCAATATTGTAGTCGCATTATGCAGACAATACGCTCTCTTCTCGTACTTACACAACAAATCAAACTAAGCGATATTTCGAATTAAACCGGAGTTTTTCTTTTAATACGACGAAATACTCGAAGGTTATACCCCTGCATGTGTAACACGGTGATGGTGAAAGATGAAGAGATAGTGAGTGATTGCAGCCGAACGAGTGCACTCTCGAGCGATAAGTGTTATGCTTTTACCGGTTGAACACTCGGTATAGCTAAGATCAAGT